GAGAATTGGGGGGAACTGGGGGAGAACTGGAGGGGAATTGGAGGAGAACTGGGGGCAAATTAGGGGAGAACTGGGGAGTAACTGGGAGGCAACTGAGGGAGAACTAGGGTGGAACTGTGGGCAGAACTGGACGGGAATTTGGGGAGAACTAGGGGGGAATTGGGGAGGGAATTGAGGATAGAATTGGGAGGGGAACTGGGGGAGAACTGTCGAGGGACTGGGGGCAGAACAGGGAGGGAACTGAGGATGACCTAGGAAAAGCAGGGAAAGAATCAGGGGAGTGGGGAGAGACTTGGAGGAGAACCAGGGGGGAATGTGATGGGGAGAACCAGAGGGGAAGTGGCAGAGCTGGGGGTGAGGGGACACACAGCCCAATGCTGGACACTGAGCAGGCTCTGCCCTCAGGAAGAAGAAGAAGGCAAAGGACAAGGCACAGATGCTGGAGCAGATTGTGAGCAGCAAGAAGCAGGAGGAGGAGAAGAAGCGTGGGCTGGACAAGCGCACCCCGGCACAGGTGGCCTACGAGAAGATGCAGGAGAAGAGGGTAAGGCTGTAACACCCCCATGAGCTGCTGGTGTGGCCCCTGAGGGGCTGAGAGTGCTGAGAGTAACCATCTCCTCCTTGTGTCCTGCAGCAAATGGAGAGGATCCTGAAGAAAGCCTCCAAAACCCACAAGCAGAGAGTAGAAGTGAGTGAAACCACCCCGAGCTCCTCAGGCCAACGTGTGTTTGTTGGGCTGAAGGAGCTGTTTTGCCTTGTAAACACAAGCAGAGAGGCAAAAGGTCTTGTGGCTCAACTTGGTGGTGTCAGTGCTAAATGTTACATGTTTTCTTTCTGTTTTTTTCCCCCAGGACTTCAACAGGCACTTGGACACCCTGACTGAGCACTATGACATCCCCAAAGTCAGCTGGACCAAGTGACCTGGTTGCTTGTTGTGGCTCTGGAGCAGCAGTTGTGGTGTTGTTTGGGTCCAGCAGAGTTCCACGTCCATCTGTTTATTCCCTATACTACCTTAATATATTTCCTGTTTATCACTTTGTATTGCCTTGTTTTATAACTTTGTTGTTTACAGCCAAACACCCACCAGAGTCTCCTGGTGGCTGAGGAGCTCTGTGGGGGTAGAGGGTTTAGTGCTTGAAGTGAGGTGAAGGCCAGAATTGATTGCTGCAATCCTGATGGAAAATGTTCTTTATTTGTTTGATGCTGACAGTTCTTTCTGGAAGAGTCTGACAGACTCACATTGAAGTTTCTCTTGTAAGTTTGAGGAATTGTAATGTTTCTTTCTATGTAGAGCTTATGGATTCAGATTGAAAAAGGGGAAATTCAGGTTACATGTTGCGAAAAGGTTTTTCCCTGTGAGGGTGGTGAGACATTGGCACAGGTTGCCCAGGGAGGCTGTGGCTGTCCCAGCCCTGGCAGTGTTTCATTCCAGGTTGGATAAAACCTTGAGCAACCTGCTCTGGTGGGAGGTGTCCCAGCCCAGAGCAGGGGGTTGGGGCTAGATGATCTCTAAACTCTAAAATCCTATGCTTCTTTCTGAGGTGAAGGATCTGCTGTAACTTTGATGTAACTTATGAAAATGCTGCTCCATCCTATCGGTGCTGACTGACATGGGGGCAGTGTGCTGAGATCAGGCTGTGAATGCAGTTTGAGAGTGCCACGTGTGGATTTTGCAGGGTGCTGTGCTGCCTTTGCACCTCCCCCCCCTCCCTTCCAGGGAGAACCTCTATCCTGATGTTTACACACTTCAATCCAACGTAGTCCTTTTCTTGGAATCGTAGAATCAACCTGGTTGGAAGAGACCGCAAAGATGACCAAATCCAACCCTACTGTGGTTACCAGACCATGGCACTAAGTGCC